CATGGAGCTGCCGATCTTGGTGGAAACCCTGAGGAACTTGCTGAGATCCCAACGAGGAACCTTCACCACGCAGTAGTCCAGACTGGGCTCAAAGTTGGCGGTGGTGGAGTTGGTCACAGAGTTCCTGAAGGAAACACAACCAAAGGTTCTTACTGACAGAACAGCCGAGTCCAGAACACTGGGACCAAACGCTGATCCAGGGTCTCGTACTTCAGTTTTGGCAGTGGAATCCCCAGGCCCAGTTTGGCCGCTACGTAGGCCAGAGGATAACCTGTGGCTTTGCTGGCGAGGGCGGAGCTCCGCGACAGACGAGCGTTCACCTCGATGATGTAATACTGCGAACACATCACATCACAGACACTGAACACTCACGGCGGCACTGTGGTGCGTGCGTTCATGACACGGCGTCACATGACCGCAGGATACCTGTTCAGACTCGGGGTTGAGGGCGTACTGGATGTTGCACTCTCCCACGATGCCCAGGTGTCTGATGACTTTGATGGCCGTGCTGCGGAGCATGTTGTACTCGTGGTCGTTGAGCGTTTGACTGGGCGCCACCACGATGGACTCTCCAGTATGGATGCCCAGAGGGTCAATATTCTCCATGTTACACACCTGAAAAAAACCAAACAAATCAAAGCAGAATCAGAATTGTTCACAGATATTTTCTTACACCGTTTTTTTCTCCACATTTACTCACGGTGACACAGTTGTCGTAGGCGTCTCGGACCACCTCGTACTCGATCTCCTTCCAGCCTTTCAGCGATTTGTCCACCAGCACCTGGGAGGTGTGAGCGAAGGCTGAGGTCACCAGGGAGGTCAACTCCTCCTTGTTGTTGGCAAAGCCCGATCCTAGACCCCCGAGAGCGAAGGCTGAGCGGACCAGGACAGGGAACCCCAGACGTTCTGCAGCTGCCACGGCCTACAGGAAGTCACAACAGGAAACACGGGGCGGAGGTGAAGCAGCCGTTTCACTGGACGACGGTGGCGGGTTTTTCTTGTGGTTGGCGTTTCCTCACCTGCTCCACGGACAGCGCTGCTTCACTGGGGGCCACGTGCTCGTTGATCTCCTCCATTTTCTCCACAAAGATCTTCCGGTCTTCCGTCATCTCGATGGAGGCCACCGGCGTTCCCAGGACTCTGACGTTGTACTTTTCCAGCACACCCTGCTTGGTCAGCTCCACGCCACAGTTCAGAGCCGTCTGACCGCCGAAGGTCAAGAGAACGCCATCGGGACGTTCATTTTTTATGACCTGGTTGAAGAGAGCAGGTACGACGGAACAGTTAGAGAACCGTTTACAGCACCGGTGACGGAGAACGGTTCTTTCAACCAGAACCAGCGGAGAGGTGGAGTACCTGGGAGACGTACTCCACCGTGATGGGCAGGAAGTAGACTTTGTCTGCCAGACCTTTGGACGTCTGCACTGTGGCGATGTTGGGGTTGATCAGGACAGTCTGGATGTTCTCCTCCTTCAGAGCCTTGATGGCCTGGAGAACAGACAGCAAACACGGTCCAGGTAAAAAAAATAATTTAAAAACGTTCTATCGCAGAACCTGTTTCAGACCAAGATGTTAAAACCAGACCTGGGAACCAGAGTAGTCAAACTCTCCAGCCTGGCCGATGGACAGTCCACCAGAACCAAGGATCAGAACCTTCTTAGGTCTGGAGACTTCTTCAGGTTTTGGAGAGCTGGGGAAGGTGAGATGATCCATCAACCGCTGCTTAACTGAGGAGAAGAAGAAGAGTGGTTTATACCAAACGACGTGTTCGTTAACAAGACGGACTGTCCTTCACCCAAATGTATTTTATTATATTATATAAATATATACTACTACTACACTGACATCTACCTGCCGTTATATCTATGCCATATTTAGGAATGTTGATTCATCCTGAACGTGATTAATCACAAATATTCATGATTAATCCAACTACTCTGTACTGGAACTGTTTACAGCACAACAGTTCCTTTAAAAAGTACCCGTGTTGGTCCCGCTGCCCTCTTTGTGGTCCTTCACCGTGTCCAGGAAGACGTCGAACAAACTGACCAGATCTGTGGGGCCGGCCTTGTGCTCAGGATGGAACTGAACACTGGAGGAAAAGAAAAAGAAAGTTCAGCGGTGCAGTCTGGGGGTGAGGGGAGGACGGCGCCGTCCCTGAGGGGCTGACCTGAACAGGGGGTGCGTGTTGTGCACGATGCCCTCGTTGGTTTTATCGTTGGCATTGGTGAAGAGGACGTCCCAGCCTTCAGGAAGACTGTCGGGGTCGACGGCGAAGCCGTGGTTCTGACTGGTGATGAAGCAGCGGTTGGTGCCCTGGTGGATGCACGGCTGGTTGTGGCCACGGTTTCCATACCTGGAAGGAGGGAGAGAAACCAGAACCCACCTGAGTCCTGACCCACTGGACAGCTCTGGTTGGTGGAAGAAGTTTCTAGAACAACCCAGGGCTTGGTCAGCCACCCGCCCCCCGACTCCACCCTCAGGAAGGACACCCTGGACAGGAAGTTGCTGCTGCTGTGCTCACCTACTGCCTGTGTGTGTGAAAAGCCCAGGCCGTCACAGCTGACCCCTGGCACCTCCGTTTGACCTCTTACCCTCTGGAGTTTACACTACGAGGTTTGTTTTCCCTCCTGTTGTGTCGCATCGTGGCTCTGTGGGAATTTCGTTGTACCTCCGTATGACAATGACAATAAAGGCTGTTCTATTCTATTCTGTTCTGTTCTGACACAAAATTATTTGGCATTTGTTCCAGGAACTATTTAGTTCCTTAGAAATGGTTCCTCGTACTTGGTTAAGGAGGGTTGGTGTCATACTGTACGCTGTATGGTTTCCCACTGTGCTCCCACCACCGTGTTGCCAGTTCCTGACACCAACAACATTCCAGCAGGTCACTGGGAACATTCTTCCCAACTCCCGACCTTCACACAGATGCTGATAAAGCAGTGAACAGCAGGTGGAGCCGGAGGAAGAGCTTAGTCTGGATAAAAAACACGGCAGTAGAACAGCAGACTCACACTGACATCACACCGACACCTCTGCCATAAAGAAGCAGACGAGAGGTTTTGGCTCCAAAACTCGTGTTTAGACCGAAACCCCAAATATGGGATCAATAAAAGTTCTACATTTTTTTTAGTGATTCCAAATGTAGATCCCTCTGTTCCAGTGTTAGTGACTGATGTTCAGATGGAACAGAGTCTGAGACTAGGATCACACTAGGACTACAGCTACACTGGGGGAAAAAAACCCCTCAATATATCCAATACACACCCCCTAGTGGACATCAGTGGTTTTGCCTGTAATAAAAACGGTTCAGTTTGACCCCAGGTCAGAGAAGAAGACATTTCTCCTCACTTCATCTTGTAGGTCTTGGCTCCAATGACCAAAGAGAGAAGCTGGTGTCCCAGGCAGATTCCAAACACGGGCTTCGGCCGCTCCACACACACCACCTTCCTGATGTTGGTGATGGTGTCCTGACACAGCTGTGGATCTCCGGGACCGTTACTGATGAACAGGCCGTCGAAATCTGCAGCAACAGTCAACAAAGGTCCATGAAGACCACCAACACTCGCTTCACAAAGAACCGACGCAGGTGCAGCCGGACAGCGTCACTGACCTGAGCTGTCCAAAGCGTGGTCCCAGGGCACGACGGTGACACGGGCTCCTCTCCGGGCCAGACAGCGGATCTGGTTGTATTTGATGCCACAGTCGACCACGGTGATCCTCAGAGTCCCACTGGGGTTGAAGACCCTGGGCTCCTGAAGACAATCAGACAGAGACAGTTCTCCAGGGACGTGACATGTGACCAGATCAGAATGATAGCAGTGGATGAAGGTGGGGATTCTCAAAATGAGGGGCAGGGGCCCTCTTGGGTGCAGATCTGTTGCGTACTTTTTGGTGTGGTGGCATTACCTTCATGGAGACCTCCTGGACCAGGTTCCTCTGGTCCGGGTTGTCAAATGGAATGTTATCCTCAGGAGTCCCGCCCACCAGCAGCTTCCCCAACATGGTTCCCTTCTCTCGGATCTTTTTGGTCAGACGACGGGTGTCAATTCCTGGAGAAAGGCAGAAAAAGTCGACCGTTAACGTTTCTACATCTGGTTTGTCTTTACTAAAGTTCTGTTCGGTTCCACGCCGACGCTCGTCTCTGGTTGTTCTGACCTTGGATTCCAGGCACTCCCTGCTCCTTGAGCCACTGGTCCAGCGACTTGACCGAGCTCCAGTGGCTGGGAGAGTCCGACAGCTCCCCGATGATGAGAGCCGCAGCGTGGATCTTGGACGACTCAAACCACTGAGAAAACAAGAACACACTCAGACCAGGACCAGGGCAGGGTCTAGAACTTTGGACCTGTAGCTCACCTTGCTGAGTCCAAACTCCCCCTCCTCATCACTTGGTACCCCGTAGTTTCCAACCAGTGGGTAAGTGAGGGTGAGCATCTGGCAGCGGTAGGACGGGTCAGTGAGGGCTTCTGGGTAGCCGACCATTCCCGTCTGGAACACTGGACACACAACACACTCATTAGCATGTGGCCCACACTCATTAGCATGTGGCCCACACAGACACAAAACCCTGAGCTGCATAGAACCAATGCTATATCCACATGTACAGGTATGGATCTCGAAGGAAACGCTGTTATGTTAGGCCACAGTGTCAGAGCGCCCCCAGATGGCTGAAGAGAATATTGATTTTACCCATTACATATTGCCAATACCTGTACAAACCTGTACATGCTCTGGTATTATAATGAACAATTATAGTTTTGCATCTCAATCCTGTTTTTCCTGTTATTATTACTGCATTACCAAACATCTCCTCTAGTGCACCTCTGTATTTGACTGCTTTCAACTTGTGACATGTAATTTGACAATATTGATAAATATAGTTTAATCTAATCTAAGTGAATCTGGTGCGGTGATAAACAGTGTATAAACATGGAACTTCATTTAAATTTTAAATTACGCAAATTATTGACTTTCAAGATTCAGTTTTTATTGTCATTATATAATAGGTTAAATAAATCATCAAATGCATGGGTAGAAGTCAATATCAGATTATCTGCGACACCTAGGGGGTTGTCAGAGATAGTTTAGGGGGGGTGAAAAAACTTTTTAGTTCATTAAACACTTTGGACATTTTAGATATATATTACAAATAAAAAAAAACCCCATTTACGATCCAAAAATCGTATTATAAATTTCTCTCAAGCGGCTTCAAAAAAAAAAA